CTTCCTCGGGACAATATGGGTTGGATAAGATAAGATGTATTGGATTGGACAAGATGGATTGGATAAGATAAGCTGGATTGGATAAGAAAGCCCGCCGAAAGGGCCGAACAAAATGAATTATGAAATTAGCGACATGCGTTAGCGCCAGGACGCCCGGGACACCCGGGACACCGCCCGGCCCAACTGGGACACCTCCCAGCCACCGGCGGACGGGAAACGGACTTTCGCTCCTACTGACCCCAGGGACACCCGGGACACCGCCCGGCCCAACTGGGACACCTCCCAGCCACCGGCGGACGGGAACGGCTTTTCGCTCCTACTTCGGCATAGCTACAAGAGGATCGCGCGCAGCTTCGCCTCGCCCGCACGCACGACACGAACACGAAACCGAAACCGATTTCCTGGTGGGGGGTCTCCGTTCCGTTCACTGCGATCTCACCCCCCAACCTCCGATATACATGTAGATACATACATGCATACACTCGCTTACCGTCCCGCGCAATTCACGGTCTATTCAGGGTCCTGGCATGGGCCCCCATGTGGAGCGCTCATTCTCCCAGTGCGCTGGTGTAGCTGGTGTTGGGGGAGGGGTGGGGGTAAAACAAATACGGCTGAAAAGACAGCATATTTTCTTTCTCCCCCCCACCGCCGAGGACACACAACACACCCACCCACCCACCCACCCACCCACCCACCCACCCACCCACCCACCCACCCACCCACCCACCACCCACCCACCCACCCACCCACCCACAACAACAACAGCAACAGCAACAGCAACAGCAACAGCAGCAGCAACAGCAACAACAACAACCTGCATGCATGCATGCATACAGTCCCAAGACAGCGCAAGACAGCCTCAAGACGGCCCGAGAGGCCCTCAGAACGGCCCAAGAGGCTCCCAAGACGGCCCAAGAGGCCTTCAGGAGGGCCCTTAGGAGGCAACACTGGATCCAAATCGCACGTCTGGCCGGGGATGTTTTTGGGGCGATGTGCCCCCAGCTTCGTGGCCAGAAAACGCAAGAACCACAAGGGGCTGTCCACGGCGCTCAGCGGCACCGTAAGTCAGCCGTCCCTGACTTCGCACGCCCGGGATTGGCAAGCCCTGCGCCTGCCCAGGTGCGCGAGAGAAGGCCCTCCGCGGGCCAGGGCCCACGGCCCGACGGCGGACCACGCAACAGACAGCGCCACAGTCCCCGAGGGACACCGGCGTGTAAGAACCACGGGGAACCCGTGCCACGCGAAGCGTGAACCTCCTGCTCCCTTGGAGCACCGGCGAATGAGACAAGCGAGCGCTTGCCGCCTCGCCGACCCTGATGAGGTGTAACACGCAAACCACTGAAGCCCCCAGGGGCCAAGAGGAGAAGAGTGGAATCCATGACGTACTTCCGTCATATTTTTCTGCTCCCCGATTCGCTACGCGGTTTGGGAGCTAAGAAAAACGTCCTTCATCCCTGCTGCGGTTTGCGTCCCAGTGCGTGCACAGGGAATTTCCAAATCGCATGTCTGGCCGGGGATGTTTTGGGGCGATATGCCCCCAGCTTCCCTCTGTACCCCAGGACACTCCTGGGCAGAAACACCCCTGTGGACGTTCGCTGGCCCACTGCACACAGGTTTGTGCGTGTAGAATGCAAGCACGAAATCACGACCTGTTTTCATCGCGGCCTCTACTCTGCTGGCGAATCCGAGAATTCCATTGGGAATTCGGCTTCTGCAAGGGTGTCCCGAGCCTTGGCTGACGTGTGCGCGAAGGCAGTCAAGCCCCGCCAGCCGCCGGAGTAGAAACGTGCCGTTGCACCTTCGGCCTCAACGACCTCTGTGGCCCAATCTTGACGAAAAGCATGTGTACCCCAGGACCGCGCTTCGGCGAATCCCAGAGGCTTGTGCGGCAAATTTCAAGCGAGCTAGAAATTCATGGTAGGAGGTCTCTGAAAGCGGCACGTTGCTATCTCCCAGCCTGCGCTTGAGAACGCACGCTCCACAAAGCGTCCTCCCTTGCAAAGCGCAAATGCAACGACGAGACACTTCCACGGGCTCCGAGTAGCATTTGCGCATTAGAAAGTATTCGGGATGATCTCCGCGTCGGCGGTGGTCTCGATGACAATCTGCGCCTGGGGCTGTCCCAACTGTAAGACCTCTCCGTACTGGAGACCAGAATGTCTTGCGACAGCCCAAGAATCGCCAATCCCGTGGCGCCCGTTCTTGCAACACCAGTGCGCTAATTTTTGGGTTGGATCTGCCGACGCTCGAAGTTTGAGTGAACGGACTGCTCTGCCAGATTTTTCGGCGCCTCGCACGACGCGGCCTGTGTCGAGAAGCGCACCGAGAGGGGCGCGGGTCCACCTGAGTATTGTCCGTAGATGCGACAAATTCTCCGGATCTGACGATAGCGGGGGGGGGGGCAAAACAAGTGTTTGACGGCTCGTTTTGGATCCCCGCGCCAAAATCCAGATCCCCCCAGAAGTATCGCTTGACGTTTCGATCTAGAACCCCCCACTGAGAAGCGTTCAGGCACAAATTGTTGGACCCCCCCAGGAAGACGACGACGACGCCGACGATGGCGCCGGTGATGACATCGACGACGCCCACGACTACAATGAAGACAACGACGGCGACGATGGCGGCGGCGACGACGACGGTGACGACAACACCGATGACGACGACGATAACACCGACGACGACGACGTCTTCGTCCTCCTCGTCCTCTTCGTCATCGTCTGCTTTGTTATCCTCGGCGTCGGCGTCGGCGTCGTCGCGGTGGTCGTCGCTGTCACGGGCTTCGTGGTCGTCGGCGTCGTCGGCGTCGGCGTCGGCGTCGTCGTCGGGGAGCTGGCGACTGGCGTGGACTTGACCCCCCCAAGTCATCATCAGATGTAGACAGAATGTAACCCCCCCAAACGATTTGCATGACAACCCGAAGTAGACCCCTCCCTGGGAGGCAGGCGAGGGTCCACAATCGAGACCCCCCCCGAAATTTTGTCTGACGCGGCCCGTTAGACCCCCCCCAAAAAGTAGACCACCCCCTATCATCATGACATCCGGAGTGCTTTCCGAGAAAAGAGGCGCTCCGAAATAGCACCACGAATACATCGATGTTCGCATCAGTTGGGAGCCAGGGCTCGAACTTATGCAAAGTACATCTCTGCTCATACAGGCGTAGAGCAGAAACGTAGCCCGCAGCGCTGGCCTTCCAGCCGCAAAATTCGATCCACATCGCCCCTTTTGTTAAAGTCCGCATCCGCTGCGCTTTCCAATCGTTGCGCCACCTGTTCTCAGGGCGGCCACGCCAGAGACGCAAGCAGCAGGCTATCAACTGCAGCCATGGCGCCAATTGCGTCGGCCAGGATTTCTGGCGGAAGCCCCCGCGAGGACCCTCGCGCGGCGGCGCAAACCGCCAGTGCTGCCCACGCCTTTCGCTTCTTGTCCTCGCCGACCGTTCCCGGAGCTGGTCCCGACGATCGTGGTTGCGCAGCTGGGATCGCCTTTGCCTGGACCGGCTCCGGCGTAGAGACGGGATGGCCGGAATTATTTTGGGAATACACCCAAAGAAATTTCGGCAAGATAATCTCCGGCCACTACTGGGGCGGCGCCCAAATCGTCCGAGCCTCTTCCGAAAAAATGCTCGCGAAATCTGCCGACGTAGTGGCCCCCTCCTGCAGCAAGTCTCGTTCCAGAACCTCCACGTCTCCAGCCTGGCCAGAAGCAGCCAGCGCCCGACGCAGGAGAGGTGAGAGCCAAGAATCTGCACGCCGACGGACGTTCTCTGTTCTCGTCCCCTGACGTTCACGATGACCCAAGAAGCCTCCGAGATCGGCCCAAGACGGCCCAAGAGGACCCCAAGAGGGCTTCAAGGCAGCCCAAGAGGGCCCCAGAACTGCCCCAAAACGGTCCAAAAGAAACTCACGAGGCCTTCAAAGGCTTTCAATAGAGACTCACGAGGGCCATGGGAGGTCCCGAGGAGAGCCCAAAATGTCTTCAAGAAGGCCAGTAGAGGGCCCACATTCCCCAAGAAGGCCCCAACTCGGCCCAAGAGGGACCCAAGACGGCTTCAAAAGGATCCACAAGACGGCCTAGAGATGCGCCCAGGAGGCCTCCAGGGGTCCCCAAAGTCCTTGAGAGGCATTCGTGAGGCCCCCAAGACAACTTCAACGATGAGCTTCCGCAAAGTGACCTGCGACAGACGGGGAATGGTTCGCAACGCCAGGCGAGAGCGAGGATGAATGAGAGGAAGGATGTGGAACGACAAGGCGATGGCTTCAATTGCCTGCATTGTGTGACTGGGCACCTTGGGCCACGAGCGAACCCGTGCGGTGGCCACGCAAAGGACCCCCAAAGTCATTAATTTGCATGGTTGCGCGTTTTCCAGAAGGCGTCCTCCTACGAAATACACCAAACTGACCCGAATACCGGGTTTGCAACAGCATTTCCTAGAAGTCCGTGGCCTACCCAGGTGTGTGTGCATTTCCAAAACCATGGTGGCATTTCTTGACGCTGCGCTGCTTCGTATTACGCGGCATTGCTTGGCAGTGCGTCGCTTGATTTGAAACTCAATCGCATGGCTTACCATTGCTTCGTATTGCGCACCCGGACAGCCTGGGACACGAGCGGGCCAGTGTATGGGCCGCACGAGGGCTCTCCACATCATCCGCGGGACCATCCGCAGCCGTTAGTTTAATGTTATGAGCTTCCGCATGCGCCACATCCTTTGTGTCTGTATTCGTTTGCTCTGGTTGTGGCGAAGTCCTGCCTTTTCGGAGCCTCCAGGTGGCCGTCTCGTCGCCACGTCATCGGGTCCGCTTCGAAATTCGTCCAAACGCACCCATAGAAACATTCGGGTGGTGCACGAGCATGTAAGTCAAGGGCGAGGGCAGATAAGGACCAGGAAAGGGGACTTGAAAGGAAACTGCCACATTTCAAAAGTCAAGGAGGATGACGCCAAGTGCCAACGAAGGCGGAGCTTGCAGGGCCAAGGTGTGTGGCGCGACGCGCCAACGCAGCCTTGTATAGGTCTATGTACATGTATATGTATATGTATAGGTGCTCCTTTGCCCCCTCTGTCCTGTGAGTCCGCGCGGACGACGTGGGGGTCGTCGTGCAGAACCGCCGCATTTTGCTGCGGCTCTGGCGCGTCTTCCGTGCTGCCGAGGTCCTTGCGGGGCTCTCCCTGAAGCTCCGCAAGTGCAAGGTCATCCCCCTCTCAACGGCCCCTTCTGCCCTGATCTCGCTGAGGCCACTCGCCGCTGGCTCGCGGATGCGTTGCCTTCCTGGCGAGCCATGGACATCGTGCCCTTCGCCGAGCACTTCGGGGTCATTCTGGGGCCAGGGGGCACGCCAGGCATCCTGTGGCAGAATCTTGGGGCCTAATGGACCCACCGAGTCCGTGAACTTGCTCGTGCTGGGGCCCCAGTGCAGATCCCCACAGTCATCTACACATTCGAGGGTGCTATCAGTGCTGGGCTACATCATGCAGCTTGCCCCAATGCCGCCCTCGCTGCACCGAGGAGAGGCATGGGCGTGGTACGAAGTCTGGCACCTCCCACCTCAGTCGTTCCCGAAGTGCGCCATCATGGGCCTCGCCTCGTGGTCAGCGCTGCCCCCCAGCAGTATGATGGTGCTCAGCATGGTGTTGCGCATGCGGGCGGCGCTCACGACCCTCACGACCTGGAAGCCGCCCCTAGCCAAGCTCACGGCGATGGTCGAGGAGCGCGGCACCCTGGCGGTGGTCGGGAGCGGGAGCCTCTCGCCGTTCTTTTGGCGCTCGACGCCGCTGGTCATGCACGTGGAGGCGGCCTCGCGCGGCCACTTCGGCACGCGTGAGCTCTCTGAGGCTGCTGCCTGCGCCCTCGCAGCCCTCGAGAACCAGACTGGGCCTGAGAGGCTGCGTGTCCAGAGGCTTCTCTCCCCCTCCCTCCGTGTTTCGCTCTTCCCTGATGTCGTCCAGGACACGATTGCGAAACGCCTCACCTCTTGGAATCTTGTTTTTGATGTCCAGAGTTGGGCCCCCTTCAGGGACCTTGTAAAAAGGGTGGTGGCCCGCCCTCACGGCAAAGCGCGGTCTTAAAAAACAGTCGGGGGGAGGGGGAGGGGGGGCCTGGCTCACGAGTGCTCGCCTACGTCGCTCCGAGGTTCGAGGCTGTCGCTTCTTTTGCGTTGGCTGCCGTGACGGCATGTATCATTTCATTCGCTGTTCAGTTTTGCGGGGCCTTGTGCATCACCCTGCCGAGCCCCCTGCGCGCTTAGCCGCTCGCATTGGCCTCTTTGGGGCACCGTTTCCTGAAGAGGTGGAGCGGATTCTGCGCGCTTATCACATGTGCAATGTTGTGCGCGCGGCTCCTGACCCTGGCCCTCTCGATTCCGAGGCTGCCAGAGACCGCTTCTATTGTGCTTTCCGCAGGGTTACACAGGCCCTGGTAGACCACTCCCGAGCGCCCTTCTAGTCTTAGTCGGACGTTCTGACCTGGATGTCCAAGGTACGAAAGACTTGTATATGTATAGGTATCTGTAGTTGTATATGTATATGTATATGTATACGTAAATGTACATGTATGTGCGCATGTAAATATATACGTTACATACGTACCATGAACCAATCCATCTGTGTGTATATATATGTGTGTATATATGGCCTTCGGCACATCTTGCCACCGTGCCTGGGTTGTGGGTCGCAGGCCTCTAGGATGTTCGTTCGGATGTCGCGGGAGGTCTCTCGGGGGCCTCCTGGGGGCCGTCTTGGCAGTTCGCGAGGGCCGTTTTGGGTTTTCTTGGGGCGTCTTCGGGCCGGTAGGGTCTTAAGGGGCCTTTTGGGGGTTATTGGGGGCCTCTTGGGGGCCTCCGGGGCGAATGACTCGGATTTTCGGTTCGTGTTCCCTCTCGTGCACTCTTCTTGGGGATGTTTTTGGGCCCTCCTGTGCCGTTTTTGGCGCTTCTGGATCCGTCTTGGGGCCCTCTTGGGCCGCGTCGTGGCCCTCCTGGGGGCCTATTGGGCCGTTCTGGGGCGGTCGGGGGGGCCTCTTTGGGCCGTTTTGGAGCGTCGGGAGTTCGAACAGTCGAGGACCCCCAAATCATTTAAAATCAATGGCAAGTATTGATTTTGGTCTCTCCGGGCCCTCCTTGAACCAGAACGACGTCACGGAATTAATGGAATTTGCATCAAAGAGATGTGCCGACGCAGTGCTTCACGAATCGACCAGTTGAGCGTTGCAAGAGCCAGTGCGCGTTTCGAAATGTTGCAGAGTGTTGCGACGATCGTGTACGATTCGCCAGTATTCTTCTAGGTCGCCTCGGGAGTCAGAGACAAATTTACACTTGCACAGACCACTGCCCAATCAATCAATATTGGGAAGGCTCTTGGGGCTCTCTTTGGGTGTCTCGGAGGCCTGCTGGGCCGTCTTGGGGCCATCTTGGGCGTCTTGGTGCGATCTTGGGGCTTCTCGGGGCCCTTTTGGGCGGATTTGGGGACCTCTTTGGGCCCTGTTGGTCCGTCTTGGGGCTCTCCTGGGCCCGAACAAGTCAAGCGAGAAGATGCGCCTCCTTCTCCTGCACGGAAGTTCCATGGGCTTGATGTCGGCATCGTGTGGCCGTCAGGGATTCGCACGCAATTTCCCAGGGCCTCCTCGACGCAGTCGGCACTGCCGCGCAGTGTCGTATCGATTCTGTTGTTGATGTGGTGCCGTGTGGTGCTGTGCGAAGCTGATCGGCCCACCGAGTCGCCAATCCTGCTAAACCGCTGTCATGACAGTTCCCATAGCCATGTCGGCTCAAGCCATACGTTGGCTATTTCTATCGAGCTGGAGGTTCGATGAAGGTTCGATTGTCGACTAGCTTCGTCGTTGGAAGGCGGTTTAGCATGAACCTTGCACGAACAGAATGCGCACCAATCGGGAGACACGGGTGACTTAAGATATGCTCGACCTAAACTGTTATGCCCGACGTTTGATCATCTGTGTCGCCGTCGTCAGATACGTCGCGACGGCTTCAGGCAATGGGGAAACCGCAAAAGTTGCAGCCTGGGAGTTGCGCGGGCCAGTCCTGGAGTGGCAAGGATTAGTGCCAGCGATCAGGAGGCTTGGGGCGCTCGCCCGGAATAGGACAGAGCGCCTTGCTTTGGGGGATGAGGATCAGTTTGAAGGTGGGCCATTCTCCTTGTACCTTCCCCTCACCAGCATTTCCACGGATACACAGCAAGCAAGTGCAAACCCTATCTTGTTGTTGCTTATGGCCTTGAAGGTTTTCGCACCACCTGGAACGGAGACCGCCGAGTTTTGGGTACAAGACAACTCCGTTCAGACGCCACCGCAGCCGCACTGGGATCACCTCACTTGGATGCTCAAGCGACAAGGGCGCTTAGTCATGCCTTTGGCAGCCTCAGTCCTCTTTCTTGGCGACCATGGTACGCCCACAATCGCCACCAGCAACCGCATCCTCCCTGCCATGACAGATTCAGACCCGCTGGAGCAGATCGACGACAAGCTTCGGTCCATTTCGCCTGCGTCTTTGCGTGAGGCCTGGCTGCTTTTCCCGCAGCGCTTCCGGTATCTTCTTTTTGACGGCGCGCTGCTGCACGGGGTGTTGGACCCTCGCTCCTGCTGCGAGGAGCTCGCCGGGCGCGGGGCCTCCAACTCCCAGGAACGCCGCCTCACGTTTTTGGTCAACTGGATCGGAAAGAGCTCCCGGCCTGTGGCGCCAGCCACGTCTTTCCCCTTGGCGAGGAAGCTCATAGATGCAGCCCTCATGGACATCGATTTCAGCCAGTTCCCCAAAGAGTCTTCGGCCTTGTCGTCGGTTGAGGGGCTGCCGGTGCAGGTGATCCACCATCCAGAGTGGGTACCAGGAGGCCGTGGGCGATGCAAGGTCACGATCAGACCGAACAGTGCGATCCAGGAAGGGCGCAAGTTGGCCGCCTGGCTTCCATGTCCTTCTGACGACCTCTCAGCCCACGCGTTGCACCATGCCACGTGGTCTTCTGCAAGCGGCGGCGAGGGTTGCCCCCTGCATCAGGCACCCGAGGAAGAGGAGGGGGGTACATGCGACGCCCTTGTGACGGTCGACAGCTTGCCAGCAGCGCAGCACGCGCAGGGCCACTACTTGCGGCAGCTGTCTCTGGTGGGAGGCCGGCCGTGGTACAAAGGCCCCGCGCACCACTTCCTCTGGTTCTGCTGGGTGCTCGGCGAGTGGCTGCTGAGTACAAGCTCCCCTCGCGAAGCTGCCGAAGAGGGTGACGCGGGGGGAGACATGTGCCCACGCTTCGCCAATGCGCCAGGAGACGATGTTCTTCCATTTGATACGGGCGCCAAGCCGTGGTATCTCTGGTCCCCAGCGGAGGAGTCCTGGGTCAGTGCTCCGGGCATATCCGTGACATGCCACCAGCCACAAAGCAACAACACAATCATGCCAGATGTTGTGCACTCGGAGCTCTAGGATAGATGGGGCGCCCAAGAAGATTCGCACCTCTTCTTGCTGGAACTCGTGCAATTGTCTGACGTGTACGCCAAGCATTCACTAGTGAGTAAATATTTGACCTGAATTTGTCCAGCGCGAAAGCAAAATTATCTAGGTGCCTCGATCTTTCCCGAAGTCGATCGCAGCGCACCTTTGAGCAGAAAAGAGTGCTCCATGTGGAGGATTATGTTCTGTATGTGATGCGTTTTTAAGTGTGTGTGTGCTTGCCTTGGGATCACCTCTGGTGTTAAACATGTTCGTTGGAGATGCCCTTGTCCCCAAATCCCACCCTCCAGCCCCTGCTCGCCCCTGCTAGTCCTCTGACTTGGAGCTCTCGCCTGGCTTAGAGACACAGGCGTGATACCCGAGCCGGAGTATCATATCCCGCGGTGTGCGTTGCCAGACTCGGATCCTTCGCTTCTGGAGTCGACACTGGGGGCGGACGCTGTGGATGGACACCTTGGATGTGCACTGGGGACGGACACTGGGGATGGACACTGGCTGCGGACAGTCGGGATGAAAGTTGAGGGCAAACAATGGGGACACTGAAGACGCAAGCCAGGAAGACGTTCGAGGGGCTGGCGTGCGCCCCCCTCTCTCCTGCCCGCAGCCGCGGGGGGCTGCCCACGCACAGTGTCTTGCCGACGGAAGGTGCGCAGTTTCCGACGCCTCTTCCATGCTTGGTTTGTCGTCTTGGGTGCGATCTATGCCAGTCTGCCGACGAGCAGCGACAGTGAACAGTTTCTTCTGGCACCAACAGGCCTGAGTTTTTGGAACGTGCGGCGTGCAGTCGTATGGCCGCGGCTTCATCCGACAGGGACTGCGCTGGCCATCTTGCAGCTGCTGCAGCTGCTACAATGCCTGCTGCTTGCTGCTACTGCTTTCCGCTGCTGCTCCTTGCCACGAAAGAAGGGGTTCTGAGGGACACGGGTCCTAGATCCCGGGTTCGGTAGGGGCCCGTGGAGGGCCACAGGGGCCCCAAAGCGTAATAACATCTCTAGGTCGTTTCTCTCCCAGGACACGTCGCCTTCATGCTAAGCTCCTCTTCCTGGTCCTCCTCATCGCCCCTCCTCTTCCGTCTTCTTGCCCCTCGTTGGGACCGTCCCGCGTCGTGCGACCTTGTTGAGATTGTGCTGGGGCAAGCTTTTTCGACGTTCGCCTCTGACCTAAACAGCGGTGGAGTGCCGAGGCGAGCCTTCGCGGTGTACCATACTGAGGGTCCCGATTGAGGCTTGAGGTATGATATTGTCGTTCCCCCTGAGTGGTTCACAAGCGCCTGGTCCGCAATCTTCTTGCCTTTGGCTCCTTGGTCGCCGTCTTTGGTTTGAGGCGCTATGTCGGCCCATTCGTTCTGCTCTGCTCTGCTACTTCTCCTCGCTCGTCCTCCTCCTTTTCGGCCTCCTCCTCCTTTCTCCCTCCATATCGCGAACAGACATTAGCATTCCTATTCTCCTCTCCTCCTCCGCCTCCCTGGGGGCCTGGAGCGGCCCTCTCAGGATGCATCGACGGGGGGGGCGCGGCAGATCGCTCTCGTGGCGCGGTCGCCTCGTCGACGACACTTCGCGGCGGTGCCAAGAGACACGCTCGGACGCGGTGCTCAGTAACGCGCCCCCCCGCTCAGATGCGAAGAAGAAAAACCGGCACAGTCATGATTTCTCGGAGGACCGCGCGGATTTCAAAGGCCGATCCACGAGATTCTGCGCGGACCTCTGCGAATTTATCCATCATATCCTGAGATGGAGTTCCTGTTGTCACTTAGACGCCCCCGGACCTCTCTCCTCTCCTCCCTCCTCTTCCTCTGCGTCACGCAGATGCACTCATCACACCCACATTCACTCACTCACACACACACACACTCAGGCTCACGCATGCTCATGCACACACTGAGACTCGCTGCTACACAGACTCACGCTCAGACTCTCTCGCAACTTCGCGAGTGACAGCGCTTACTCACACGCAGACTCCCTCCTACACAAACTCAGCTCCTTCTCAACTCACACTCAGACTCATATTCACTCGCACTCAGACTCACTCATACTCATACCCATTCATGTTCAGACCCACTCAGTTCTCACACTCTCAGACTCGCTCATACTCAGACTGTCTTACCCTTGAGACGCACTTTCGCTCCGACTCGCAGACTGTGAGGATGTCTCGCCCGTTCGCGCTGAGATTGTCGGGTTGTCTCGAGCGGCTTGCCTGGTTGGTGGCCCAGACTCCCCTGCTTTCAGACAGATTGTGAGGATGCCTCGAGCGAGGCGCTGGTTTCAGCACTCCCAGTGGGGAGCCGCCAGGGTGTTTGCACGGGCCCGTTCGTACCCAGACCGTGGGGATGTCTCGGGCGATTAGTGGCCCTGACTCGTCTGCTTGCAGAGCAGAGTGTGAGGATGTTTCACGCGGTCCCCCGCTTGCTCAAAAGCTGGAGATCGAGTGGGCGCAGGCGGGCGCGAGCTGACGCCAGGGGAAAGCCGCCAGACTTCAGACGCAAGACAAGGATACTTTTTGGCTGGGTAGAGGCGGACAGGCGAAGTTCGTGGCGCCGAAGGCGCCGCCACGGAAACGGCAAGGAACCCTGTGCCACAGCAGCTCCAGGCACGCTGAGACATACAATAAGAGAACTTACTCGTCCTGAGCATTCTCTCGCCTCCAGTCTGCAAGTCAGCGACGGAACGCCTGATCGTTCGGAATCAGCTCCGCCTGGGCGTCGCGGTCGTCGTCACCATGCCCGTCGTTCGTTCGGACTTGCTCTCGCACCCATATGCTCGTAGCTACACGCCCTCAGCGAGACGTGCCACGAAAATTGCATACACTTGTGGGGATCTCCGCGTCGAGTATGTTTTATGTTGTGTTCTTCGATAGCGAGGGCCTCCCGCGCTAAGATGCTCACTAGGGGGACCCTCCTGGGGCCCAGCTAACTGGTCTGCTCGACTCAAGTTCGACTCAGGTTCGACGCAGCATCCACGCAGGCGTGGAGCGGGTGGCTCCATGGAGGTCCCCCGCGCCAGCACCTAACCCCGCCTTCTCCTCCCCCAGACATCCGGCGCTTCGAGCAAAATCAGAGCGGCTGGCTTGTCGCCTTTCTTGGCTTCTGGAGGCCAGGTTCGGGCTTCGGGGCCGTCAACAGAAGCGGCTCGGGATGGAGAGCCAGCCCATGGACAAGGGGGCGAAACGTCCGGGGGCCCACGCATCCAGACTCGGTGCCGGATGTCTGGGCCTTCATCTTCTTCCTGCGGCCCGAAGCGTGCTGGGGAATGTTTTGAACGGGCGCTCGTTGTCATAATGGTTCGTGCTGTCACGCTGCTTGCTGCCGAAGGGGGGGTTTGTCCCTTCCCCTCGTTTTTGCTTTGCAGTTTGAGATCGACGACGCTGGTTATTGGAAGCTTCCTTCACCGATGCTTCTCGTACATCGCAGCCGTTTTGGCTCACGTGCAGTGCCTGGCGGCTGTGCGCACCACGCGTATGGAGTTCGTCAGTCTGGTATCACCTGGTGGCGGTCTCTTCACAGCGTGGGTCGCAGCGCACTGGGAGCGGCGCTTGAAGCGGCATGACTACCAAGCAGCAGACATTCGAATCGCAGCCGGTACCGTTGCAGATCGGCTCGCCGTCATTCCTCTGCGCTGCGTGGGTCACTTGCTGCTCGGCCTGTGCAAGATTCTCCGCTGGAAGTCCCTGCGACTGGACGAAGATGCGGACTCGGTGAGGACCAACCTGGTCACGAGCATGGCCACGCCCGGGCTCCCGACGGTGGCCACCGTGAGGGAGGCGGACGTCACCCTGAGGCGAGCCCCTGGCGACTTCCTGGACGTGCAGAGCCTGCCCGACCTGATGAACCTCAGCGGCCTGGACATGCTGATGGAGCCGGACGCCCGGGAGATAGAGGCCGGCCACGCGCAGAAGGGGGGTCGGGGGGGCCGGGGGGGGCAGGGGGGGGCGAGGCCTCTCAGAAGGAGGCCGCTCCCCAGGGGGCGCGGGCTGCACCCGCAGATACGGGGCCCGCGCCTCCTACGAAGCAGCCGCCCTCTTAGAGGCCTCTTCCCCCCTGCCCCTGCCCCCCCCCCACGTGTGCGCGCCGCCAAAGAGGCCGCCCTCGAGGAGGGTCGGCGGCACACGGCGCCCGAGGGGCTGATCACGCAGAGGGCGGAGCGGCCCGCGCCGCTTCGGGACGAGCTGGGCTTCGGGGACGGCGGGCGGAACAGCACACCCTCCGCGAGATTCCGCCAGGCGGTTTGGCTGCGCATGGCGTGGCCGGCCTGGGCGAGAGCTGGATGGGCCCGTGGCCATCCGTCTTTCCAGCGCTCGGCCCTCGTGCGGCCAGGCACGGTGATCCAGCAAGCGGCATCCAGGTGTTCTGCATGTGGATCCAGCCGTGCAGGTTTCCAGCTTCCTGGTAGGCCTCCCGAACGGGTCCGAGGAGACGTGGTTGAAGGATCGCTCCGCATCGCTGAAGCATTGGCGATGCGGCTCGATGCAGATCCCGTTTTGCTTCACGTCGACGTCGCCGATGCATCGGCGGTGCATCACCGATGCATCACCGATGTGTTGTCGATGCGGCGCGACATCCAGCGCCTCGATTTTTTCGAGGTACGGGCACTCGACCTCTCGACCACCTCCCCAGGACCTGGTTTTTCACCCCGAGTCGTTTTTCAAGTGTCCCGAGGCCCAGTACGGGCTCCGGGAGTCCGAAAATTACGGAAACCCGCCGTCTCGACTTCTTGTTTCGAGACGCCGGATGTCTGGGCCCCTTCAGCGAGATCCTCCGAGGGGGCCCCGCGAGGTCCAGTGGGGCTGGCCACTCCAGCAGCCGTGGAGCCGTCGGTGCAAGCGCGGGCTCGGCAGTGGTGCCAGGCGCGCAGGCCGACGCCACAGGCCCAGACACGCTCGCGTCGTGAACCAGTCACGACGGGAGATTTTTGTTTGCCGCTTTCGGTCTTCAGGGGCCCTCGCCGGGCCCCAGGACCGCCAAAACCTGACCCGTGATGAAAAACAGGCCCCTGGGAAGGGGTCGGGACATCAGGGGGCCCCGCATTAACAAGCTCAGGGCATCGCATGTCTTGGGGGGCTTCGTGTCGGCTCCGTCCGCGGGGGGGGGGGAAGAAGAGAGTTGCGGTCCCAGGTCCAGGATAATTACGTAGCTCCAGAGCGTTCCTGTGTGTTCTGGGAGCG